CTATGACTTTAAGCAGAAATAATCATAAAAACAAGTTTCTATTTTTAAATCATGATACAGAACATTTGAATTTTACATTCTTCCTTCCTCCCTCCCTTCATGTCTTTCCTTCTTTTCCCTGTCCTTGCTTTTCTCTTACGCTTTTATTTTCTTCTTTCCCCTCTTCTACATCTCTTCTCCTCTCTTCTTTCCTTCTCTTTAAATTTGTGTGTGTGTGTGTGCGTGTGTGTGTGTGTGCACGCATGCTCAGTCATATCCAACACTTTGTGATCCCATGGACTATAACCCACCGGGCTCCCAAGGGATTTTCCAGGCAAGAACATTCTAGTGGATTGCCTTTTCCTTCTCCAGGAGATCTTCTCTGGGTGCTTCGCAAAGTCTGAATTATAATCTCTTTCTCTTAGAACTGCTTTCACATTAAACCATTTTTCTGGTTATAGTAATTTCAGGTATTCTAACCTGACATTAACCACCTTGGGTCAACTCACTATACTATCCTTAGAGTGCCTTAAAATCACTTTAAAGAGAGCAGCTTCCTATGTCCCATGTCACTGTAATTGGGGCAGATGTTTGAAAAAGAAAGGTACCATCTTTCATAATGGGATTATTATCTTCCTTCTTTTTGGTCATTTTTCATAATAGTAGCGATCTTTGCAAAATAGTCCCTTCACCAGGGCCTACTGTATAGCCCAGGGAACTGTATGCAATATTTTGTAATAACCTATAATGGAAAAGAGTCTAAAAAAGAATTTATAAAGACCTTGTGTGTGTGTGTGTGTGTGTGTGTGTGTGTGTGTGTGTGTGTGTATCTCAGTCTTGTCTGACTCTTTGCTACCCTATGGACTGTAGACTGCCAGGCTCCTCTGGCCATAGGATTCCCAGGCAAGAATACTGGAGTGTGTTGCCATACCGTCTTCCAGGGGACCTTCCCAATCCAGGAACTAAACCCATGTCTCTTATGTCTCCTACATTGGCAGGCAGGTTCTTTACCACAGCGCCATCTGGGAAGCTAACTAACTAACTAAATAACTAAATAAGTAAATAACTTTATTATACACCTGAAACTAAGACAACATTGTAAATCAACTACATTTCAATAAAAATTTTTGAAAGATTAGAAATTTCAATCTATTATCATTTTTGCAAAACAAATATTATGGTTGACAGGGTTCAGTCATTATAAATGCTAACACTAAGAGCAAAATGTGCATTGATAAAGCTAAATGTTTATAAAATAATCTTTGTTAGTGCAGATTGTGATACTATTTTTATTTCCTGTGATACAATTTTATCTCCTTTTGTGTATGTTTCTTAAATGACAATGTAGATAAACTTTAAGCCTCAATTTTTTCCACATATAAATTAATGATAATAATAGTACCCATAATTCAATTATCATAGCAGACTGTTTTAGTCTACTAGGGCTGCCATAATAGAACACTCCAGACTGAATGGCTTAAACAAGAGAAATATACTTTCTCAAAGTTCTAGATGCTAGAAGTCCAAGATCAAGGTGCCAAAAAGGTTACTTATTTTTTTAATTTTTTTTAATTTTAATTTTTTCATTTACTTATATTAGTTGGAGGCTAATTACTTTACAATATTATAGTGGTTTTTGCCGTACATTGATATGAATCAGCCATGGATTTACATGTGTTATTTTCTTCAGCGGTCTCCTTTTCATGCTGCAGATGGCCTCCTTCTGGCTGTGTTTTCACATGCCCTTTCCTCTGTGTATGAACTCCTTTGTTTCTTCCTCTTCACATAAGGATACCAGTTCTATTGGATTAGGTCCCTACCTTATTACTTTAATTCACGTTAAGATTCTTGCGAGTCCCTTGAACAGCAAGGAGATGAAACAAACCAATCCTAAAGGAAATCAACCTGGAATATTCATTGGAAGGACTGATGCTGAAGCTGAAGCTCCAATAATTTGGCCATTTGATGCGCAGACCTGACTCATTGGAAAAGACCCTGATTCCGGGAAAGATTGAAAGCAAAAGGAAAAGAGAACAGCAGAGGATGAGATGGTTAGATAGTATCACCAACTCAATGGACATGAATCTGAGCAAATTCTGGGAGATGATGAAGGATAAGGAAGCCTGGCATGCTGCAGTCCATGGGGTTGCAAAGAGTCAAACAAGACTTAGCGACTATACAACAACAAAAGCACCTCAAAAACCCTATCTAAAATAAAGTCATCCTGGTCTTTATGGTTTCAATATATAAACTGAGGAAGGGAAGGAGTACAATTTAATCCATAGCACAGACATGGTTGGCTATGCTTAAATTCCCTTAGATCCTTTTATCAATTCTAAATACACATCTGAAAACTTCTCAGTGCTTTTGCTTTGGCTTATAATAAAATGAAGTGGCATCTACTACTCTCTGTTTAAGCCTGGATCCACTATACACAGCTGATGCCTGAAAGTTTCCGCGATCCCCTTCTCCTCTATATAGGCTAATTGGCTTAGTTTTAGATTGAAATTTGCTTGATATCCTAACCTTTCCTATCCTGCTTTCCACTTATCAACACCACACCCCCCCATCACTTAACTTGGAAGACATCTTTCCTTAATAAATTGCATGCACAGAAATACTAGTATGCTCATCTAAGAAAAAGAAATTACAAGGGCTGAGAGAAGGCCTTAAAAATAATTAGACTCTGCAGAGGGGAGGGGTAAATTAGGAGTTACAAATTGATTCAAAAATTTTGTTCGCAGATTTGCAAAACCATAAGTACTTCAATACAGTTTTTTAAAAAAGTAATTAGTCTGGTATTTGCAGACATGATATTTCCATACCTGATAGTTACTGTTTCTATCACTATTGTTATTGTGTTTGTTATAGTTGCTATTATTTTGTTAATTGTATTATAATTCAAGGTTCATATCATATGTCCTGGAATTTGTTGTACTTCGGTGTATTTTTACACTTCAGTATTTTCACCCAAAAATATTGATAAGGGTACTCAATTAAAAAATGTGTAAAAATTTAAATGAGAACATACAGTTTTTTTAATCACAATGAGTCTCATAGGAATTATTAAATAAATACTGGTCTTATAGTGAGTATCTGTAGGATCTGCAATGTATTTACTGTGTTTGAAGTAATCATTCTCAAAACACACCAAATGAAGATTTTAACTTAAATATTCTTCTCAATAAAATTATTTCCTCTGTCACTGATCTTCATAACTTTTCAAAATAAATCTAAATGATCTTTTTCAATTTGTTGTTTAATAGTGAAGATGTTATTGGGACTTCCTCCATTGCAAATTTATTTCATTTGCAACCTCTAAGAACTTCTTTAAGGTCAAATATATTGCTTTATTCCAATAACCCATCAAAATAATTGATGAAACATATACATTAGGTTAATAGAAGTTTTCTAGTCACCAAAATAAATTCTTTACCATTTTAAAGCAGTTTTGTTTTTCATTTTGAAATAAAATGTCTTAAGGATTTAACAAAATAGAATGTTTACATTTAGATTATTGTTTTCATTAAAATATCAGCTTTAAAATATGTAAGTATCTTTACAGTTTGTTTAAAGACTGCAGCTTACACTTAAAATGTCACAAGATTGCCTAGGTTGATAGTAAAGTCTTCAAAATGGATTGAACAAGGTGGAGATTGGGAAGAGGGAAAGAAACAATTTACTGAAGCTAACAAAGTTGCCTTATTTCAATATGCTTGTTTGCTACACCAGCAGGGAATAAAAACAGAGGTACTATATTTTCAAGGTGAATCCAAAAGAAAAGGCCTTGTCTTTTGGAAATGAAAGTTCCCTGAATAAGGCCAACCTTGATGCATTATAAGAACTGTGCTATCAGGACTGCAATAAAAATGGTCCATTCAGAGGTTAGGGAGAAATATTATTTCTAGAAGGCATGAAAATAAGAATTTTTTGTTTTACAGGTCTTAAAATAAATCTTTGCAAAAAATAATGAGATGAAGTGCAAAGTAGATTGTCTCTGTGTTTTGCCATTTTTCTCTGTATACCTCATTGAGAAAAATACTAAATTTCCATGTCTTCAGCAAAATTGTTCTAAATTCAAAACTATTCAAACTTTTCTATGTCCTTAGCCCAGAAGGAAATGCCAAAATTATTCTTCAGCTCTTCCATCTCAATTAAACCTTTGCATATTCATAATTTAAATGCCTTTACTATACACATGCCAGTTCATCTGTGTGAATAAACTTTGTAGTTTTCAGTAATATAAATATTAATATGTGCTGAGTGACCACAAATATTAAATAGCTAGATCTATAATGTCAAAGGTTTTTTCCATGGATGTGAGTAAAAATTGGGAGGAAAGATTTTGTTTTTTACCATTTGCTGTGCTTGACATGTGTCAGGCAATTATGATTGTCATACATTAAAACACACTGGAAAACTAGACAATTTATTAACATATCCCTAGTTTGGTGAGAGATCTTTTTTTTTTTTTTTCTTTTCTTAAACATTTTATTCACGTTATAGAGGGATTTGTATTTGCTTTTTTTCCAATCATTAGGACAGTGGTTGAGGAGTACTGAATCCATCACTACTTTGATGACACAGTTAAGATTCCAGATTCACATTTCCAGGTACCAAGAGTTCCCTCTAAATGCTACAATCAAGTCAGCCTTTGTATACATTTCCTTTACTGAACACAGCAATGCCCGTTGGTATCTCTGAAGCGTAATCGCATCTTAGGTCGGTATTTCTCCAGGTAAAGCAGCTGTTTGGAATTGAATGCTCCCCTTCTCAAGTGGATTCTAAATACTTCTGCTTATCTTGAAGAGAGAAGTTTTTGAAAGAATAAACAAGTTGAATAGAGAAAACACTGATTTAGGCATTTTAGTGGTCTTTTTAATGTTTTCTGCTGTGAAACATTTCAAGATTTATTGATTTTTTTTTTTTTCATTTTCCCCATCACACTCACACACGCACGCTCACACTTTTTATTTGCCATAATGAACCGTCCAGCCCCTGTGGAGATCTCCTATGAGAACATGCGTTTTCTGATAACCCACAACCCTACCAATGCTACCCTCAACAAGTTCACAGAGGAACTTAAGAAGTATGGAGTGACAACTTTGGTTCGAGTTTGTGATGCTACATATGATAAAGCACCAGTTGAAAAAGAAGGAATCCACGTTCTAGATTGGCCTTTTGACGATGGAGCACCACCCCCTAATCAGATAGTAGATGATTGGCTAAACCTACTAAAAACCAAATTTCGTGAAGAACCAGGTTGCTGTGTTGCAGTGCATTGTGTTGCAGGATTGGGAAGGGCACCTGTACTAGTTGCACTTGCTTTGATTGAATGTGGAATGAAGTACGAAGATGCAGTTCAGTTTATAAGACAAAAAAGATGGTGAGAGATCTTAAATGCATACTATAAGAGACCTGGGAAGGATCTTGGAAAGTTTGCAATTGCAGTAGAGAGAAAATAAGACACAAGACTCAGAAGTCTACATTTTGACCAATTTGAACTACAGAAACTTTAGTAAGAGACAAATCAGACATTTACTTTGTGCTGCTCTTAGAGATCAGAACTAAGGCTAGGAAGAAAGATGATTATTATATCATTGATTTATTTACCAAATATTCTTTGAACACCTGCCATGTGTCAAACACTGATCTGGGAAGCAAAGATATAGCAAGTACAAAGCAAACAAGCGCACAAACAAAGCAGCTAAGAGTCGCTGCCCGCCGGAGTCTACATTCTGGTAAGGAAAAGTTGAATTAATGGGCATCATTATTAAAACTACTGAAGCAGAAGTATGGCTGATCATATTTAAGTATATCGAAGAAGGAACTTTATACTTGGGTAAAAGTTGACTTTCAATGGTCCATCTAACTCAAAGAGCCTGTGCATTTATATAACCATTTGAGCCACCAGGAAGTCCATTTACATGACTAAATGATTTACTTCTGCTGCACTGAATTATTTCCTCCTGCTTCTTTTGTTTTTAAAACACAATTTATATTCATTAATTTTATTAAGATCAAAATTTCTCAGTAAACCAAAATGACAATTATCTAAATTATTTATTTATTGTGGCAAAGCCTAATATACTATTTTTGTGGGTGATACTGTTACCAATAATAATAATGATACTCTCATATATTACCTTGGAAATGACTCTTGTGGAAATAATGGAAAACCAGTGTTCAGAATTGAGATATTATAAGAAGGAGTAAGTCTGTAAAAATAAAACTAATTTTATTTTCAAATATCTCTTCAGGAGCTATCCGTTACTGCTTATCATTTGTGCTAGAGGAAAGCAAAACTGCAATAGAAAAGGAAATAATAGAAATAAATAGAAATAATGATAGAAATAAATCTATAACATGTGTTGTACATATCTAGTAAGATGACACAAGGCTTCAGTTAGAAGTGCTTAAGAAAAAAATATGACATGTTGTTGTAAAGCTGTGAAGCTGGAAATTGTATAACTTACAACACAGTAAATCCACCTGTAGGCTTTTAGATATAGATAAGCTCTTTCACATGGACACTGGAAAAAAAAAAAGGCATAACTATTCAAAGCATCAATTTTAAAATAGCAAATCAGTAGAAGCAACTCATAGTGTTACTGACAAGAGAAGCCAAAAAAAATGTTGTTGTATAGTTGTAGAAACAAATACCAGTTTGTGGAAAAATCAATCCTTATAACCACATACATCCATGTTGAATGTTGAAAAATATATTTGATTAAAAAAGCAAGTCAGAGAAAATAGAGTTATATATAATATGATGTATATTATATATATTAATATATATTAGTTATATATAACACAATGTACATTATATATTAATATATGTTAGTTATATATAATATGAAATATTTTATATAACACATTTATAATGATACAAAATATATTAAAAATTGAAGAAAAAGAGGTAGGTATGACTGCTGAAGAGGAAAACTTGCCTCTATAAAACTAAAGGAACCACCCAATAGTGGTTACTATTTACTATTATTATAGCTACATAGTAGTGTTTTTAAAAATAAATTTAAATTTGTACATGTATGCAACAGATAAAATGCACTTATTAATACATATCTATACTTATATGTATATTTTTGTTGCTAAGTTGTGTCTAGTTCTTTTGTGACCCCATGGACTGTAGCCCTCAAGGTTCCTCTCTCCATCAGATTTTCCAGGCAAGAATGGTTGGCCATTTCCTTCTTCCCCACCCAGGGATTGAATCAGCATCTCTGGCATTGGCAGGTGGATTCTTTACCACTAAGCTGCCAGGGAAGACCTTATAATGTCTATTTAGAATAATATGTAACATTCAAAGTCCTTATATATTTTTCATTTTTATTTTATATGTTATTATTTTTATTTGCATGCAATGTTAAATAACAGATCAAATCAATATTTGTCTTTGAAGGTGATATCTGACATGTGTAATTTAAAATCAGTATTTCTTTTGCATACAAAATTTAAGATCTTGTGAGGAATGTATTCATCAGACTTGCAAATTAGAAGAATCATTTTGGAATGCACTTGATTGGAAAATTGGAGGCAGATAAAAGAAAATGTAAGACAATCTGGAAGAAGCCTACTTTCATTTTTATTAAAGAGATGGTGAATTTCTAGACTAGTTCGGTGACAAGGAAATGAAGAGGAAGTGTGTCTATCTTCAATTAGCAAAGTTTACTGAATAATCAATTGGACAAGGGGATTATTAATATTACTGGTGGATGGGGCTTCCTTGGTGTCTCAGCAGGCAAAGCATCTGCATGCAATGCTGGAGCCTCCATGTGACCCCTGGGTTGGGCAGATCCCCTGGAGGAGGGAATGGCAAACCACTCCAGTATTCTTGCCTGGAGAACCCCCATGGACAGAGGTGCCTGGTGGGCTACAGCCCATGGGGTTACAAAGAGTCGGGCATGACTGACAGCGCAGCATGTGTGAATGAGAAACTTAGGAAGTGTAATGCTTTTCTAGATTATATCACCAGTTATGTCACTAGACATCAAGTAGAGAATACTAAATGGGAAAAGTCCTAGAGAGAGAGAATAAAGGTTCTCTGGGTTTGATTCGATGTGAAGTGTTTGGGGTAGATTTAGACATACATGGTCAGTGGGAAGTTGGATGCATGAGTCTGGAATTTTGGCAACAAATATGATCTAGATTTCACAATTGATGACTGAAGTTTTTCTGGAAAGACAATGTAAAATTAGAAGAGAAAAATACAAAAGGCTGAACACTTTGGGCACTATACCATCAGAAGAATGAGTTGAAAGAAGAGGAAACTAAAAGAGATGAAGAGAGGATTGCCTGCCACACTGTGAGCCAAAAAGAAGGAAGCAGGAAAAGATATTATCCCAAAAAAACATATGATATAGGGAGTTTAGAAAAACAAACTCTGGGACTGAGTTAGGAATGGAAGATGAAGAGCAGTGAGACCTGCAAATTGGATAGAATTAAGAGATTGAACATATTTATGAGAAAAAAGCATATTTAATAAATATTTAAAATAGTCTAAATATCCAAGAATGTGGGATTAAACATATATATATATATCACCATTATATTCAGCTTAGAGTTATAGATCATTATAAATTAATTTATCAAATAATAAAACAGTATTTGTGATATATATAAGATTAAATGATAAAGTGATCTTTAAAACATTACATGCAATACAATCCAATCTCCTGTAATATAGAGCTGCAACAGAATATAATACAAGGTTAATAAAATCAATTTCTTGTTATGGAATAAAAATTCTGCATTAATACTTTTCCAAATTTATTCTATGGATATATTTATTTGTATAATCAGAAAAAAGTAAATTTATTTATATAATTTCACCTTTCCATATTCCTCAAAATGCTTCATTCTCAAGTTATCATCATGCTTTATATTAATAATACTTGTCTTTTTTGCAAGATTCTGGAGTTTTTCTATTTTTACCTCTTTCAGTTCTTCTCCTATTCTCCTTTGAATATGATTCATGCAGGTCATCACATTCACTGAAGTGTTATCTTTTCTCAAATGCACCAATGACCTTCCTGTTACTAAAAGCCCAGCTTCTCCTTGAATCAAATCTAGGAGACAGAGTTTTGGGTCAAGTCAGAAAGGACAACTTTATTACTTTGTCAGCACTGAAGAATTGATGCTTTTGAACCAAGGTGTTGAAGACTCTTGAGAGTCCCTTGGATGGCAAGGAGATCAAACTAGCTATTCCTACAAGAAATCAATTCTGAATATTCATTGGAAGGACTGATGCTGAAGCTGAAACTCCAATACTTTGGCCACCTGATGTGAAGAGCCAACTCATTGGAAAAGACCCTGATGTTGGGAAAGATTGAAGGCAGGAGAAGGGGACGACAGAGGATGAGGTGGTTGGATGGCATCCCTGACTCAATGGACATGAGTTTGAGCAAGCTCTGGGGGATGGTGAAGGGCAGGGAAGCATGGCGTGCTGCAGTCCATGCTGCATGTCCAAGAGTAAGACATGACTGAGGGGCTGAACCACAAGGCCAATAGGGACACATCAAGCTTCTGCCCTCAAAAACCATGTGTCCCAACCCCAGAGGATTTGGTGAAGGGTTTTCAGTGGTTCAAAGATATGGTATCTGACAAGACTATGATGTGAGTAGAACTTTCACTCCCTTAACCTCATCTCCATGGTCTTCTAATCTTGGTGAGCTTCTCCGGGTCCTCTGATTTTGCCTCAGGTGGTTTCTGGGCTGCTCCTTCCTTGTGTGGTTGTGTGCTGCTCTGCTCAGGCCTGTCTGACTCTTTGCGATCCCGTGGACTGTAAACTGCCAGGCTCCTCTGCCCATGGAATTTTCCAGGAAAGAATACTAGAGTGGGTCACCATTTCCTTCTCCAGGGGATCTTCCTGATGCAGGGATTAAACCCATGTCTCCCCCATCTCCTGCATTGCAGGTGAATTCCTTATCACTGAGCCAGTGGGGAAGCCCTCCCTTGATTAGCAACTGTTTGAATTGCCCTCTGGAACTCAGTGAAGGTCCTGGAAGGCTAGAGTCTTACCTATAAAAAATGGGGATCAAAAAGGACACAGTACCTGGGAGCCTCACAGGGCCTTGCTCAAGTTTTAGTAGTGGCCAAGCTATAGACTATCACAGTGGTCCAAGCAAACACCTGCTGATACATTTAGCTTGGGTGGTGGCAGCAGATGTATTTTGGAATTAGGTTAGATGTGCCATTTGAAAAGACCCTGATACTGGGAATGATTGAAGGTAGGAGGAGAAGGGGACGACAGAGGAGGAGATGGTTGGATGGCATCACTGACTCAGTGGGCATGAGTTTGAGTAAGCTCAGGGGGGTGGTGATGGACAGGAAGTCTGGCATGCTGCAGTCCATGAGGTCGCAAAGAGTCAGACAC